CAGGCCCGTGCGGGTCGGGCGGACGGCAGCCCCTCGGTCGGCTATGTCGGCGCGCCGGCAGGGCTCTGGGCCGCCAGGTCCGCACGGACCGTCACGGTGGGACCGGCCAGGGGGAAGGGATCCCTGGCACCCCCTCCTCGGCGCAGGCTGCGCACCAGACGGGCCAGAGGGGGCGTAGAACAGGTGATGCCTCCGAATGAGAACGCCCCCTCAGTTATCCGGATACTGAGCCCAAGCTGCCCGCCTCCCGGCCGTGGCCCTCGGGGTCCCCAGAGAGGCCGAGGAGAGGGCACGGGTTCCCAGGGGGCCCCTCTCTCTGGAGGCAGCCTCCGTGAGAGGCAGATAACAAAGCCCCTCCTCTCCGGCAGCGCCAGCTCTTTGGGACCAGTCATTGGGCTCGGCGCCTGCACCAGGCTCACGAGAGAATAACCTTCGGAAGCCTTTGTAGCGTGAACCATAGACAGTGTCACGACTGCAACTCAAAAGTAAACACGACCGGGTCCCCTTGTGCCGCCAGGAGCGGCGCCTCAGCGCCTCAGCCAGGCTCTCTAACATCCACGCGCTTCTGCAGTTCATACTGTTAAGCCCAGAGAGTTCCTTTCCGTTCAGTGAAGGAGCCTCGCGGTGAAAGAAGGAACGTGTGAAGTGTGTTTTGAGCTACCATCATTAATGCCGCGCTCGGTCGGCCGCGCCCTGCCGTGTGCTCTTCCAACAACAGACAAGATGGAGGCGCTGCCTCCAGAAAGACCCTCTCCCTGAGGGAGGCCAGGGCTGGGGCGGGGGTTGGAAGGCAGGCTCCTGCCTGTCGTTCACCACTGAAGACTCAGGAGCGCCAGCCCGCCCAGGAGATGGGCAGGCTGTCCCCCCTGTGGGTCCTGGGGAAGGCCCAGTGCGGTTAAAAAGGAAGACTCCCTGACTCCCCCACACTTTGCAACAATTCTAGTTCAGAACTTCAGCAGCCTTGAGGAACACCTCAGGCAAGAATGGGACAAGCCTGAGACACCCCTACCCCTCATCCTCAGCTCTGGGATTTAGTCAGGATGGTGTGACCAAGAAACCCCCAGGCCATTGAAGGGTGTGGTTAGGTCAAATGTTCAAACCTTTACTGAGTTCCTGGTGTATGCCCAACACTGGAGTTTTAGTAAACCCAAAAAGACAAACCCACTGCCGTTGAGTCGATTATCTTAGCGACCCCTATAGAGTTTCCAAGGCTGTAAACCTTTACGGAAGCAGACTGCCTCGTCTTTGGAAGCAGACTGCCTCGTCTTTGGAAGCAGACTGCCTCGTCTTTCTCCCGCAGGCACCTCAGATGTGCTAAGTGTTTTTGCATGCTTGTGTCATTTTTCCCCAGAGAGCCCCTATGAGGTAGATGCTGTCATCACTCATCTCAAAGATATGGGTGTGGAGAGGCCCACTGACTTGCCCCGTGTCTTAGCCAGTCAGCCATAGGTCCAGGTTTCCCTGACTCCAAAGCACGTGGCTTAACCAGGAGGCATGAAGCTTGGAGTGTAAGACAATGTGAAAAAACAGACAAGGACGAGGCTGTACTGGGTGGTAGAGGACAGAGAAGAGGACAGATGCCTACCCCAGCCTACCCTGTCCCCTACTGGGACACGTGTCCTGACTGCGAGAGGTCTTTAAACCAGTTGCAATCCAGTCAACTCCAACTCTTGGCAACCCCACATGTCAGTGGAACTGTATCCATAGGGTTTTCCATGGCTGTTTTTTCGGAAGGTCTCCAGGCCTTTCTTCTGAGTGCCTCTTGGTAGACTCGAACCCCCAACCCTTCAGTTAGCAGACAAGTGTGTTAAGCATCTGCATCTCTCAGGACTCCAACAGGTCTTTAGGAGTTGGATAAAAGATGGGAAAGATGCTCCAGCGGGGGGTGGCGATACTAAGAAAGCCAGAGAGGTGTGAGGACGTGTGGTCTGCCTGAAAAACTACTCTCATGTCCCTCAGCTGGTTTGCAGCATGCTCCAGGGAGGGAGGACAGAGGCAGGCCTAAGAGGTGAGCCGGGCAGCACCCGAAATCCAAGCCCAGGGACCAGGTTTCCTTCTGATGGCAATGGGGAGTTGCCCATGTGGACTGTGCAGGGAAGTGACTAGTAGCTGCATCTTCCAAAAGGCCCTGCCTGCAGCGAGGACAGTGTTGCTTGGGAGCAGCTAGAGGGGGGAAGGCTGGGGAGGAGCTGGGCTCGGGCACCCAGGAGGGAAGGGATGGGGTTCTGCATGGAGTCACAGAGAACAGCTGCTGCCTGCTTCAGGGTCGTCCACTGGTCCCCTTCCCCCATTCACGATGACACTCCAGCAGGGTGAGGAGATTTCGCTGGATATCTGCACATGGATACCTTCAAAGGATCCCTGCTCTGCCCCAGGCCCATCCCGGACCTCCTCGGTGCTCCTTGGCACAGGGCTGATTTGTACACATCAGGTACAGCTATCATAATGATAGCGACCAGCACTCACCAAGTGCTGTTTCTTCCTCCCGGCCAGCATGGAGGTGGGAATTACGATCCCTCCCATCCTGAGGCTCAGAGGCAGTCAGACAACTATGGGGCTTCAGCCAAGATTTGAACCTCAGATCCTATTTGACCTCCCCGTCTTCCCCAGTCCTGTGGGGATTTTAAGGTCTTCCTTTGTAATATTTCCCTGAGCAGGCACTCGGGAAGAAAGTATGGAACTCAGTCAATGCAGTCTATAAATAGTAACATTTCTTGGCTTTAGTTCAGAATCAATGAACTGGAACCCCCAACACAATGCAGGAGGAGTTCTCTGGGGACAGAATCCAGGAGTGCCTGGTTCACCACAGGTGCAGCTCCATGCTTGCACATAGTAGGTACCCAACAGACTTGTCTTGATTGGTCGTCAGACTCACCTGCTCCCTCAGGCTTAGGAAAGTGCCAGCCACAGGACCAGGTCCGCAGGTCAGAACAGGATGAGGTGAGATAGCATTACAGCTCGCCAACCTGGAACTCATCAAGTTCCATGGCTGAGTTGTGCGCCCAAGTCATCTTTGATGCCATAGGAATCCAGACCTACCAAAGAATGGCCCAGGCTTCTTAGTGTTCATCATCTCTAACTTGAATGTGAGAACTTTACCAAGCAGAAGGAGGACACAGAAACTGACACCCACTTGTCACCCTCCTCAGTTTCCCATAGGCCAGCTTCTTCACCAAGGTCACCTGACAAACCTGTCATTTTCTGCATTCTTTGCTGACAGTCCCTCCTTGTTGGACCCAGGCCCCAAGGCCAACATGCTGCTCTCACCTTCTCACTTGAACTACCTCTGCTGGTTCCGTTCAGCAACTCACTGTGGGCTCATCCCCGGGTGTCAAGCTCAGTGCTTGGGGCTGAAGATACCACAGGGAACAGGTCAAAGCCCTTGACCTCATCGTCTCAATTCCCTGAAGTCTCCCTGAGTTCTCTGAAGCCTCTTCCAAACCAACTCAGAGGGGAAAAACAGCCTGCTACCCTGACTGCCCATAGAGGAACTTGATAAATAGCCAAGGTCTGGGTGGGGCAGGAGAACAGTGGGGGCTAGCCCTAGGACAGGCCCTTCCATCAGCCTTGCCCTGAGGTTCACCAGACATGGCCATGGGTGGGTGTTCTCTTCCTTTGGTTGGTATCAGTGGATCCTCACCAGCCCTTGCAGAACTCCCTCTGTGCCCCACCAGACTCTAGCCTCCATGCCCGCAATGGCCATTCAGAGTTGCTCACCAATGTGTGCTGCTAAGTTTTTAACCATCAGCTTCCTGGGCAGGGAGCCCTGATTTATAGCATTTGCCGATTTCTCTGGTGTAAATACTCCCACCATGGCCTAATGAAGCTACCAACATGTATCACGGAACAAGAAGTTGGAAGAGATGTACCTCATAGTAGAGCACGTCCACCACTGTATAGAGATATTGTACGGGATGTTGGTGGTTCTATGGTGGAATTCTTTCCTTCCATGCAGGGGGCCCGGGTTCAGTTCCCACAATGAACCTTGTGCCGCCACTACCTGTCTGTCAGCGGAGGCTTGAGTGTTGCTATGACGCTGAACTGGTTTCAAGGAAGCTTCCAGACTAGAAAGAAAGGCCTGGCAATCTACTTCTGAAAAATGAGCCAATGAAAATCTGGGGGTATCCACAGCTGATCACGGGCATGGCTCAAGACCACACAACGTTTCATTCCTCGGTGCTTGGGGTCACCAGGAGTCGAGGCTGACTCAATGGCATCTGGCGACAGCAACTTACCCAAG